AACACAATAGAAATCAAAGTATGACATGATTAAAGAAAAAAGAAAGAATTACATTAAACTTATGAAGTGCTCTCTGGCGCACCAACCAAGAGGTTCTTACCTTTTAAGAAGTAAGAATTTATACGATGTGCTCCATACACTTCGAACACTTGGTTTTTAAAAGTCTGCTCCATACAAAAGTCTGCACCAACCAAGAGGAAAAACGTATAAATTTAAAAACGTATAATAACTAATACTTACTTTTTAAAAATCTACCCCATACAAAGTCTGCTCTCTGGCGCACCAACCAAGAGGAACAAAAAGAAAATTAAATTACTCAGTAGGATAAAAGCATATTTTTGCACCGATCATGATGGTAAACAATGGGTTTTACATTAAAATCCCTAAACACCAAAAACAGAAAGAAGAAAGGGCTGTTAGGGATCTAACTCTGCTCTCGACCTTTATCTGTTTCGTCCCTCTCTGTTGTCATATGACAGATGCTACGGATCGGCCCTTGGCTCCTATCCCTGCGTACGAATACTTCTCTAGAAGACCCGTTTTTCATTGGGGAAGAGGTGCCTAACATTAAAAGACCCCCCTGGGGAAGACGGCTATAGTGATAGATTGATGCTCGATTTGGAGGATTTGAATTGAGAATTGATTGGGTTTTTTTTAGATTAACCGATAGACTTCCGGATGAAGTAGCGGTTTTACATTTGGGCTTCTGCACACTCAGAATGCCTATGTGGGTGATGTCTCAAAAAAAGGGGGTGTATGCAATGGGCTAACGATGGTGCTCTCATGAGTTTATTAACAAAAACTCAATTCTGCAATGATGATTTCAACATCCCAATCCTCATCTCAGTGCCTTTCTTCCTCAATAGCAATCAGGGGTTCATACTTAAAACGCAAAACCAACCCACTAAAAAATGAAAGCTAAGCTATAGGGCAATATTATGGGCAAACAAACAATCAAACAGCTGGTGTGCCATACCTGATAAGAAGGAGGGGGGAGGAGAGCAGCCTAAAGCCGTATCGAGGCAAGATAGCCGGTGGGAGAGACGAAGTCATGAAATGGGATCCTCCTAAGATAGGGAGCCGCTAACCAAAGCCTGACCGCACCACAGCCATGGCAACTCGATTTAATCTCCAACATTGAGAATAAAAAAATTTGGCTGAAAAGAAAGTGAAGGAGAGGGAAGGGCCATGGCAACTCAATTTCATCTCCAAAAATAAGAAAACCTGGCTGAAGCAAGTGAAGAGAGGGAAGGGCGTCTGGGGATTTGGACGGGAGCAGTGAAACGGTGGAAACGGAAGAAAAAAAACTGATCTGGCATTTACAACCTACACACATGGATCCTATGTGGAGTACACTTGGTAGCCCCACAATTGAAAAACTCAACTTTATATATATATATATATATATATATATATATATATATATATATATATATATATATATATATATATGATGATATATGATATATGATACGGAGTATATGATATATGATGATGATATGATATGATATATGATGATGATATATGATATGATGATACATAAACCTATTTGTGCCCAAATCTTTTATATCCCATTTGTACACTGCAGATTTGCACTAATATTTTTTGTTGGTATAAAACTAATTTTTGTTAATGCACTAAAATTTTGTATCGGTGTAAATTTTTGTTAACGCACTAACACTCGTGTCGGTGTAAACCATCAAAATGTTTGTGTATAACTGCAGTGTACAAATTAAATGAGGTACAATTTTTGGTGTAAGTGTAGCATGCCGAGCGAGTCCAAAATGATATGGACCATGCTACACTTAAAAATGGGGTACAAATTTTTGTGTAAGTGTAGCATGGTCCATATCATTTAGATGGTTCATAAGGAAGGACCATGTTACACTTACACCAAAATTTGTATCCCAAATTTGCACCAAAGGTATACCCGAATATTTTGATGGTTCATACGGACACAAATTATTGGTGTCTTAACAAAAATTTACACTGACACAAAGTATTAGTGTGTTGACAAAAATCAGCATTACACCAACACAAAATGTTGGTGCATACTTGCGGTGTATAAATGGGATACAAATAGCTTTATCCAAATGATATTTGTACACAAGAAATTATGAGTATCTTACTTGGTATTTCGAAGCCATGCACCAATATTTTGTGCTAGTAAAATGTTTTACAATTGTACAAAATGTCAGTACAATTTTTTTGATTGAACTAACATTTCGTGCTAGTGTGAATCGTTAAAATATTGGTACATTCCTTTGATGTAAAATTTGGGATACACTTTTTGGTGTACAAGTTATATTAAGCTACTTGTACATCAAAAAATATACTCCGGATTATATACCATAGATGTGTACTTTTATTTTTTTGCTAGTGTGATAGTTTGCACTTGTTAGACAAGGCGTGCAACTCTAGAGGGGGGGTGAATAGAGTTATTGAGAATGATTTTTGATTTTCACAGGATTAATAATATAAATGTAAGTGCAGCAGAAATAAAAGAGAGAAGGCAAAGAACACACCGATGTATACTGGTTCACCACCTCGTGGCTAGTCCAGTTCCCCGAGAGACTCTCTCGAAGCTACCACTACTTCCGTTAAGCTTACGGGTGCTTAACAAACCGTTACAACTCGAGAACTTGAATCTCACAAGCCTCGACACAACCGCTCGTAGATATGCCCTCTACAAGACTTCACACTCAAGACTTAAGTCACATAAGTCTTATACAACAAGAACAATTTTCTTCAATCTCACAACAATAACTCTCACAAGAGTAGAAATGAGAACAGATTAAGCTCTATGGATGAAAAGAACACTCTCTTGAAAACATTTAGTTTTCCCATATATATATATATATATATATATATATATATATATATATATATATTTATTAAAGAAAAGTTTTATTAAAAGAAAAAGAGAAAGGATAAGAGGAGTGGCCAGCCCGACAACAAGCCAAAAGAAAAACCAAACCAAAAAAGGGAATACAAGAGGAAGCTGCCAAGAAACAAAACTAAAAGGGATAAGCTGCCAGATACAAATCATAAATGAGTAGCTGAATATGCACCCATCCAACTGCAACCAATTCGCCGTGTGCATCCATTCACACCTTGTGTAGTTTATAATTATACCCAAAGATCCCACCAAAAGTACCGTCCATTCAACATTTTTTGCAGTCTATAAAGGAAAAAGTCAAAAAACTTGAAAGCAAAGCTGGGACCTGCTAGTACAAGTGATGAACGTTGCTGCAGAAATTAAGTAGCACCAGCAGTAACATTTTATGTAGAAACAAGCTCCTGTTTACTGTTGGATTAATTGCTCCAACTCTGAAGCCCATTCTCTAACCAGAACCGTTAGGCACACTTTGAGACAGAACGCCTTAGCTTCAAATAAACCTTGAAAACCCAATCTCTAAACCCTGGAAATGGTGCAAGAGTAACCAGCTACATGTGACCCTCCCCTGAGCTACTTAAGACAGAAAAAAGTTAAAGCAAATACCAAGGACTTCTTTTTCCTTTCCCCTTGAATGCATAAAAGAAATTAGACAATAGGTTCGAAACTTTAACCAATTGAAGTTTGTGACTCTTCAGCCTGATCCCCCGTTAGAAAATCTGCCACAAGCCTTTCATCAGCTTTGGAACAAGAAATGAATGCTGGATATTTAGAATCTTCGAATTGGACAAGGGTCACTTTTTCCATGCTTTTCACCGTCTCTCGTGTTGCTCTAAGTGTCTTCCCCGACATATTTTGAAAAAGTCCCATTTTGAGTTGATCCAGTAGTGATGTCTTCGCCAAAGCCTCTTGAATCTGGCTTTCCACTGCCCTGAATATTGTTTCAAAATAGGCCTCAAAAGCTGGTTGAAATAACTTTTGGAGTTTCTTTTCTTCATCTCCATCTTCCTTAGTCTCTTGTGAATCTGCATTTTTCCCCTGTTCTGTGAGGCTAGGCATCCTAGAACCCTGCAAAACATCTTGTTCCAGTAGATTTGAGGATATGGAAGGGAACCTCAGTTGCTCATCCTCTATCCTCTCCACCCGGAATATCTGGTCTATTAAATCTTGAGAAATTGAAGCTTCTTCTCTCATGGGAACCTTTTCAGCAGATTCATACCCTTCCAGGATTTTTAGAGCTGCATTCAGTGCTTTTACAAAAAGCCTAATGCCTTCTAATTGCCGTCCCACTGGGATGCAAATATTAGCTATATCCCCATCGGTTCCTCCGCTGATTCTAACGAAAGATCCAAAATGGTTTGAGTCCCAGTGGGACTTTGCCGACACAGGCCCTTCAAATTTTGAAATAACCCAACCCTCTCTAGCCAAAGGTTGGTGGCTTAGGGTCTCAGAAAGCCAAAGAGCAGTAGAACGCGAGATAGAAAGAAATCTAGACATACCATTCTTGGATTCAGAAATTATAAGGTTGTCTGAGGCCTGGAATTCAAATACCTTGCTTTCAATCAAAATTGAAACGCCGGAATTGCTTCTAAAAGGACCTTGGTAACGATTTCTGGACCACCATCTGGTTCTGGTGTTCTTAGAAGCATCTCCCCAACCCGGCGATTGCGTTCTACTCGTTTGAAATCTGCAATTCTTCTGAAAAATTCCCTGGAAACCATCATGCCTGAAATGAAATGCGTTGTTAGTGCACCGCCGGTTAAATTTCTCCCTTCCCCCCCCTTCTCTCTAGAAACCCCATAATATGATATATATATGTCATATATATATATATATATATATATATATATATATATATGTATGTATGTATATATGTATGTATGTATGTATGTATATATGTGTGTGTGTATATATATATATGTGTGTATATATATACATATACATATATATATATATATATATATATTATTTAAAGGGAAATTTTATTCAAGAGACAAGATAGTACAAAGAGTGGGAGTGGCCAACCCCAACAAAAAGCCAATCCAGCGAGGTAAAATAAACGAAACCAACTAAGTACTAACTACCAAAAGATAGCTACGAGTACAACCCAAGAATTGTCTTATTCCTCTTGAAGTTTAATTCACAGCAAGAACCTCTCGTGGAGACCAGTTCAGGAGATAGGGCCCAGTCCTTCATTATTTCCTTCCTAGTAGTCTTGGATACAGTAGCCGCAGGAATCACAAATTTTGAAGGGGCAACAGCGTTCCAATGAAGCATCAGGATAGCTCTCCTTGATAGCAATATTGTGGCCGTGAAGCAGCAAAGCATAATCCCACAAGAAACTGAAGAACAGCAAATCCAATTATTTATATATATATATATATATATAATATATATATATATATATGTGTGTGTGTGTGTGTGTGTGTGTGTATATATATATATATACATATATATATATATATATATATATATATATGGGGAAGTCTAATTTGACACCAATACATTTTACACCACTTACTTACACCAATACATCTCATCCCTCCATCATACTCACTTCAATCCAAACCACCCAATTACAAATCACTTATTTTCTAACCTAAACCCATTTGCACAAATCTGATTTCTTTCGTCTCCTTTCTTCGTCACCGTCTCAGCCCTCGCCCAAACTTACCTTCATCGCAGTCCAATCTTACAGGTGCGGGTTTGTTTCGCCACAAGTCCTCTCTCACAATCGTCTTCATCGATCTATTCCGCTCGATAAGAAGATGGGAGACACACAGATGGTAGAACAAGTTATAGAGGGGCAACTTATTGAGCAGGCGCACATTTTTGAGGATGAACCCATTCCAATTACTTTTGAAAGGTAAAAGTTACAATTTTGAATTTTATAATATGACTGCACCAATCTATATTTTTGGGCATTGCATTTTGAATTTTACGTCGACAGTAATTATTGTTGTGTGCATTTCTATAGTATGGAAGAAGATGGCTACTCATCTCCTGTTCGCATCCTCGAGCCATATGTTGGTCAGGAATGGGAGAATGAGGCACAAGCAAGACAATATTATATTGAGTATGCAAAATGGTAGGATTTGGAATAAGGAAAAGAACACGTCGTCCCGGAGTTGATTTTCGGTTGGTGTGTAATAGGGCAGGAGTTGTTCCTAACACAAATCATCTTGATAGTGAAACAGAGTATGACAAGACTACCTCAACACTACGTTTTAATTGCCCTGTGTTTATTAGTGTGGGTCAAAGCAAAAAAAGCAATGGTAGATGGGTGGTTCGTAGCTTACAAAATACTCACAATCACCCTTGTCTTAGTCCTGTTAGCAAGCCATTCTTGCATTCTAATACAGAAATGACAGAAACTGCACAATTCTTTACGGAGAGATTTCACAAAGTGGGTGTCCCTATTTGAGCGAGCGATGGAAAAGGTTCGAAGTTGTCGTGGGTGTGGGGAGATAGGACACGACAAAAGAAATTGTGCGACAAAGTCCTCCAAAAAAATATAAAGGGTTCAATTTGTCTTTAGTTTTTGAAGTATGTATGGTAGCCCTGCTTTGAGCGTTGTCTCAACTCTTAGAACTAAAATTGCAGCAGTAACATTGTCTTTCAGCACTTGTTTTGGAACTGAATTTGTAGAAGTAACATACTGCCTTCAGTGTATTCTTGAGTTTTTTACAGTATATTTTTTGTTGACATTTTGAGTTCATAATGCACCTTATTCATAACTATTTTTTTAAGTCTGTTATTGTTTAGAATGTGCTGCCAAAAGTCTAGTCCAATTTTTACTATACCAAATGCTGTAGAAAATGACCTATTATAGTACACACATAAAGGTAGTTGATACTGATCATTAGAAACAAAGTTCTACTATTGTGAGTTCATATCTAAAAAAGAAGAAACCACGTTTGTGAAAAATTATTGATTTTAGTCTTGTAGCCTATACGAGATTTGAACCCATATCTTTTGTGAAAAACTCACAAATGCTCTACCAATTGAGCTAATAGACTTCAAACTTCAGTTTAAACTAGCTAAAACTTAAACATCTGGGTAAAGAACAAAAACTCCAAAGATTGAACCAATCAATTAGCAGGATTTAAAAGATGGGTTTACTATTGCTAATCTAAAAATAAAAGTGTTCAACAATGGATCAAGAATATATACAATGTTCAAAATAACTTCTCCAAGAGTACAGTGGATTTTGGAATGGTGAAACAAAGCTAAGAGTAACAAAAAATAATGAATTGAAAATTAAGTATTCAGGAACTGTTCGGATGGCATATTCAATCCATGGAAATTAGATACCAATCTTTGAAGCTTGCATCTTTGAATACAGGGGAAAAAATTACTAGCCAAAAAAATTACCTTCCAATTGCTCATCGTCCATTATTGCGGCTGGGATTTGAAGGTAGATCGCAGTATCAAAGGGGAAAACTAGTGGAACAAAATCAAAATGCAGAATCATATGAGGGAGAGGAAGCGCGAGTTGTGGGCGAGACAGCGACAAAGGATGGAGAGGAGACATGGACGGTGAAGACGGTGATGAAGAAAGGGAGAGCCGGAGAGGACCAAAAGGCGGTAGACGGCGTTGAAGGAGAAGACAGAAGAAATCGTTTGGGCGAGAGATGAGACGGCGAGGAAGAAAGGAGACGGAAGATTTGTGCAAATGGGTTTAGGTTAAGAAACAAGTGATTTGTAAATGGGTGGTTTGGATTAAAGTGGGTGTGATGGAGGGATGAGATGTATTGGTGTAACGGTAGAGCCGGCAAAACAGAACCGGAACCGATTACCCGAACCGAAATATCCGAAACCGAAACCGAAATGACCCGAAAAATGAAGATCCGGTCTATAACCGAAAACCCGAAATGATCCGAATCGAACTGAAACCGAACTAAATAATTCATATCCGATTTAAATCCAAAACCGATTAGATCCGAAACCGAAAATATCCGAACCGATTAAACCCGAAACCGATTAGATCCGAAACCGATAATACCCGAAACCGATAAACCCCGAAACTGATTAGATCCGAAACCGATTATATCCGAAACCGATTAGAACCTACATAGATAATTTTGGAAGTATGTTTTCCTTTCAATAAGCATATTATGCTTTTATAATTTTACTTTTATTTTACCATTTGAACTAATTATATTACTTGCTCATTCCCTCACAAAATGGATTACATGTTTTAGAAATATTACAAAAAATAGAGCAAATGAGCAATAAAATAGAGATGACATAAAACACATGAAAATTACTTTTTTCAAATCTAAGCATACATGCGATAAAATAAAGCAAACCAGTAATAAAATAGAGATGAGAATCTTCCTAAACACCAAAAAGTAGTCATCTAGTGATAATTAAAAAATATAGTATTCAATAGTCATGATCCGAAAGTGGAAATATAAAGCAAACGTCCATAGATGGTAGAATTGCTAGTAGCCTTTGATAAATGGTCACTGGGAACATCTAATAATGGACATTTACTTGAATAATGACTAATTAATAATGACCAAAAGTCCTACATTAGGAAATAAAAACATATGGTCCTATATTTGGAAAGCCATTGTGTTTTAGCCCTGTTTAGGTAAATTACTTATAATATTATTTGAAGTGATAAAATTTTAATATATCAAAACTAAATTTTAAAATTAATATTGTGATATTAAATTTATATCATCATAAAATATATTTTTTCATAATGTGTAGTCCACTCAATCGAATATATCAGAAACCGAAATATATCCGAACTGGACTAGACCCGAAACCGAAATATATCCGACTCAAATTGTATCCGAATCAAAATCTATCCGAACCGATTTATAACCGAACCATATCTGAACCGACTCGAAACCGAACCAAACCGAAAAATGTATAGAACCGAAATCAAATCCGAACCGAAATTTAACCGATCCGAACCGAACCGAAAAAGTTCAATTTGGAACCGATCCGGTTGATCCGATTGCCACCTTTAGGTGTAAGTAAGTAGTGTAAAATGTATTGGTATCAAATTAGACTTCCCCTATATATATATATATATATATATATATATATATATATATATATATATATATATATATATATATATATATATATATATATATATATATATATATATATATATATATTGGTGGTGTTTTCGGGTGGTGTTTT